GAGTGCTATAATTATAATATAAAGAAGAGCCGTTCAAGTATTGGCTGATTCTTCTATTGATTAATTTTTTTCACTATTTAAGTTTAGTCAAATAGTTCAAAATAAAAGTAATAATTTTTTATAAGTGAGATGAAATTTTGAGTGATAGAAAGGTAAGAAGTTTAGATGCTGGATATGTAATACATAAGAATTGAGTTGTATTTATGAAAATGCCCCTAGCATAAATTCAATTTTTTTAATATGTTGTGTGTCGAAAAACTCACGACGGTAGCGTGATAATTTAATGTTTTAGCGTAGTACGAAGATACAACACACACAGATAATAGAGTAGTTGGAGAAGGCACCAATATTTTTATGTGGAAATCTCTGGCAAGAGAAAAAAACTACAAAGACTAGCACAATTAAAATAGCCATCTACATGATTGTAGGTACAAAGGTCCACTATTCTCTTTAAAGCATATGTGATTACAAAGTTGATGTTCATAGTTTTACAACAAAAGTTCAGCGATAATAGTAGCAATTAGGTTGTAATTCTTGGAGATAATAGCGACAACCAGCCACAAAGATCGTTGTTGATTGTTGTGAAGGCAATGGTCTGCCACAAATATTGTAAACAATGGTTGTAATAACTTTATTTTGTCGTAGAGGTCGTAGTTGAAATACACATTAGTAGTTGGCTACATAGATCGTAGCTGATAGTTTCAGAAGTGTTAGAGGTCATAAAGGTTGTAGTAGGAGGTTGTAATAATAGTTGTTAGCCACATATGCTATAGCGGGGAGCTGCAGTTGTGTTAGTTAGTCACCAAAGTTGTAGTAGGAAGCTACATGATCAATAAGCCAAATAGGTTGTAGTTGGTCATATAGACCGTAGTTGAGAGCTCCAATATCATTAGTTGGTCACAAAGTTCGTAGTTAGTGTGTGGTTGCAAAAGCGACATCATTTGTCGTTATATAATGTAAGAAGTAAACTTTAGAAGTCCAAATAAAATTGTAGCATTCTAAATATGACGGTTGTAAACAATTGTTGCAATGATTTATCGTTGAAAATTCGATACAACATTATTCACTATTTTGCATTGAGGGTATGTCGTTTCACTGTATGCAGGGCGTCATCACTCCGTAACCAAGGTGGGTTGTTACACTGTATTTGAGGTGTATCGTTACACTGTATTTCAAGTGTATTGTTACATTGTATTCGGGATGTATAGTACCACTGTATTTGGGTGCATTGTTACACCATGTTTGGAGTACTTCGCTACACCATAAGGTTCACCGCTTGCAGCTAGCAGAAGTGGTTGACAATGACCGACAGTAGCTAACGAGTAGTGGTTGATGGCTACAAAGAGCAAAATTTACCGTAAGTTCTTCAAATCCAGAATGCCTTTTGGATTCTACTTCTCCCTCTATTTATAAATTTTGTGAATGACATCATGAATCTGATCCACTCAGCGAAACGACCCAAAATAATTCCTTTAGTTAGAAGACGTTACATGGGCATTTAACCCTCTTAATTATATCTAAATTGAGCAATTTATGACTCACTAAATTCATCTTATATAAACGCTCGATTTAACTATAAAATCGTTATATTTAAAATCTATTTGACCCTCCAATTAACCATCCAAAACTTCCAAGTAATTTAATATTTTGATTCGCTTTTGATTTCATTTGAGTTGGATCAATTTTAGAGCATTGGATGTCTAGTCAAGCTTATAAGTTTGACTATAAGATTCCTGAAATCAAAATTCTAGTTAATTTTTAATCCTAGTCTAAATATTTCTTGCTTCAAAAATATCTCAATTAATGTCATATCCTGAAATTCATGTCAAATAATAAAAAATTATTAATCACACATCAGAATCATATATTAAAATAAAAAGTGAGATTCTTATACTTAAATCTCATATATTTTTAAAATGTAGCAAAAAGAAAGTCGACACATTAACACATTTAAGCAAGAAAAAAAAATGGAGAATAAGCACCAGTTCTTAGCAGTATTTGCATAACACAACATTTGTACAAACATGCAAAGAACACATCACATGTAAACTCCAACCAAACAAGCCATTGTTGAAGAGTTCGTGTACAACTTTCACAACAAAGAACGAGTTGCACGATATATAATTACATGAAGAAAATCGCTCAGAAGGGGTCAGCTGTTTCCTCCCCTTGAAAAAACAAAAAAGAAAATCACAATAACAAACATTATCAAAACTTAAGACATTTACACGCAGCCATAACATCTTTTGAAGATGCAGCTAATCTGAATCATACAGCAGCAGGCTGAAATCTCTGGACTTGGCCCTCAATCTCTCTTGGATTCGCTCTTTGATCGCAGTTCCCTGGTAATGACAGAGAGAAATCAGCACAAGAACCAGGACGAGAGAAATTTTTTATTTACATATCTAACCCCTAAAGTTAGATGTTTACATTTGTAACACCTAGGTGCTATAATCTGAGGCATAAAAATGGTGCATTTGATTTTAAAAAGTTAGTGAAGTGTTGCTTTACCATGAGATATTAAAAATTTGAGTGCTATAATTATAAATATGAAAGTTTAGGTATTAGATATGTAAATACATAAGAATTGTGTGGATAAAGAAACGTCATCATATTAAAAAATAAAAATAAAAACTCACCATAGAATGACAGCCTTCCTCGAACTTCTCGAGAAATCCAGCGACCCAGCGATCTGCATTCTCTACCCATTCGTCGTGCAGTATGCCTGCAGTTTTTGCAACCGTGTAAAGCTGCAAAAAACATTTTCATGGAGTTTAAAACAGCAAAAAAATTAAAAAAAGAGTGAATAGAATAATAAAAACTTGTCTTACCCTTTTCATGTTTCCGTAAAGCATATTTCATAATAAAACATAAGGTAAATGCAGATGCCCAATGTGATCAAGGAGGAGATTGCATGTTCTCCAAATTTATTTTAATTATTCATCTATAATTTTGTATTGTTGAATCCTAATTTGTCCGTAAATCATACCCAAGGAATAGAGCATAAGTCAGAAAAGAGAAATAGAGAGCGAGATAGGGGGGGGAGTGAACAATAATGAATAGTAAAATATCATGTCAACCCATCTCATTCAAAAAATGATCTCCATATTTATATAGCAGAGAACTCAATATGATGACAGTATATTTCTGTCCCTGCTTTAAAAATTTTTTTACAAGATATTCTTGATATTTTATAAGTCAGTCGGTCGGCTATTCTCTGGCTCGATCGTCTGAGCTTGATTGACTTCAAGTCGGTTGTGCTTGATCGATGTGGGTCGGCAAGTTAATATGGCCCGACTATTGATCGTTTGACTTATGATGGGGAGCTTCCAAACGTCATCAGTAAGATTGGAGATGCTAAGGGATTGGGTCTTTGTTCGAGTCGGCATCTTCGTGGTGGTTGGCTAGAATGTCTCTTTGTTTCATTCCAGACCTAACGGTTCAGACTCGGATAATTCGGTTGTCTTTCATGGCTCAACCGGCTTTACTTTGCTAGTTTTAGCTCAAACGTTTGCACTCGATTGGATAAGTGATCTTCACATTATTCTATCATTGGACCATCCTTCAAAGTACTCTTCTCCTCTAAACCACTATATCTCCTCAGCATCAGCGCTGACATATTTTTATGTATATGGATAATATTCAAACTCATGATCACACCATTTGCTATAATCTAAAATATAAAAAATCATACGAAACTGTTCTGTCAATTTTCATAATGATTTAATAATTTATCACGCATGCTAAAAGTACAAGAACCATCAGATGACAAATGAAGGACCCTATAAGATTTAAATTTACACATCTATTTCAATAATCAAAATATCCATGATCATATTAGAGAATTGCAATCAACCAAATAGTCCAAAACATAGGGAGGGGATGGGTCCCAAGAATTTTCTAAGAAACGAAAGACTTCTTCCTTCAAAAATAAAGAGAAAATTAGGAGGTCAAGCAAAGCTACTATGCAAACCATAATGAAAAGAACTGCAACTGGAAAATTATATGTACATTAATAGATGGCCATATCAAAAACAGTTGACAAAAAGTGCAACCTTAATTATGGTGGACAGCACCCAGCTAAGTCCTAGGGACTGTAACTATCTCTGATGGCAATGTCGAGCATGGGACGACAGAATATCAACTAATGTGGACACGAGAAAATTTGTTCACCTGAAAATACATTCTGGTAAGAAAAAAGCAACATCATCACTGACATTGGCAACCAGAAGAGCCTAATTTATGACAATCTAATATGGAAGTTGTATTTGAAGGCCAGCTCTCATCAAAATTTATACTCTTTGGGTAGATTTAGAAAGGTTCTGAAGTTAATATTCATCATCATGTTGGTTGAAGTCCGCAATCGCCAACAAGTGCAGTGATGGGATATCATGTGAGGTAGTACCCCTGGACATTTGTTGTTATCTTTGACAGTCCATATCTCCATGACAAGCAAGCAATGCTAACTCATATTCCCTATTCATGTCCAATGATCAACAATATGAAGAATTATTTGTCGAAGAATGAGCATAACTTTTTATTAGCTTATGTTGTCATGATAGCCCAAAGAGGGTAAACTTACAGACGCTCCGTAAACTTTCTACTTATTAGGATGGTTATAGAGTTTTGCTATTTCTAAATTAAGCAAGGCTAGAGATCTTTAACTACAGAGTTGCTTTAGAAGTAGTTACAAGGTTGTCCCATATAAAGATCCATAAAGCATGATATCATACACTTTTGAAGGTACCACCATCAAACCTCATAATATACTAAATTTTAGTCATTCAATAAAGAGATCATAAATAGGGGTGTAGACGAGCTGAACATAAGCCGAGCCCGAGCCTCAAAAAGTGTGTTCGTGTAAGGCTTGTTTTCTTAACGAGCCGAACACGAGCTGTTCACGAACAAAGTGTCGTTTTGACAATCCTAATCACGTAACAATAAGATGTTAAGAATTGGGGCAAGATTTAAAAATTATTGTTTATATTAAAACATTATTTAAATCTAATTTAAAATTTTGTTTTCTACTTTTTTAATTAATACTTTTAATTGATTATAAATCTTTGTAGCCTTGTAGTCAATGAATTTTTTTAAAAATATTACTCATCAATAAATAAATAAATAAATAAATATATAATTAAGTAATTAATGAGTAGTATTTCGAGCCAAAAGAACCAAACACGAATGAACAAATCATTGTTCGCGTTCGGCTCATTAACTTAGCGAACAAGCCAAACATGAGCTTCTTAGCAAGCCAAACACGAGTTGTTCGTGAACAATGAGCCGTTTTGATAGCCCTGATCATAAAGAAAATTATAGAATTGTTAGAGAATTGAGTTATATGGCCTAACTTTTGGTTTTTTGGATCATCCATTCTGATGATCTCTAAGAAGGATGGCACATTATGTGTCAAATATTACGCTCTCAGCAAAATAATGACAAAAAACTATTTTAATTGTCACACATTAATGAACTACTAGATCAGTAACAGAATGCAACCATCTTTGTCAAATTGGATTTCAAATATTGCTTATTACCAAAAGTTCTTCAAAGTGATAGACACCATTCAAGAAAAGTCGAGGCCCCTACAAGCAGTTGGCAATGCCATTCCTGAGATTGATGGATAATATTTTGTAACCTTGTATGACATCATTATTGTTTATAGAGATGATATCTTAGAATTCAAATTATGAGAAGTGCACCCAAAACATCTGACAAAAGTATACCATCTATTGTACCTCCATCAACTTTCCACACAAATACTAATTGAAATATGCCTAAGACACTTCCCATAAAGTGCCTTGGTATCTTCATTTATCCAATACCCCCACTATATTGAAGGGGGAATTGAATTTTACCTCAAAAAAACTCAAACATTACTAGAGAGCACTGCAAAAGCATATATATGAACAGCTGTAAAAGTACCAACTTCAAAGTAGGAGATCATGTCTGATTATATATGGCCTCAGAAGAATAGAAAGAAATTGAAACTGATCAGATATGGACCTTTAAAAATTCATTTAAAGATAGTAGAAAATACAAATGGAGATATGTACTCAATAGTAAATGTGGAGATATTAAAGCCCTCTAAACCTATCATACTTCTCGATGGAAAGTCTGAAGAGATTTTGTCCTCTTAGGATAATCCACTTTTGAAGTGGAAATAACCCTTAGATGTTCTATAGAAGAAACCAAAAGAATAAATACAATGATGCATATATATATATATATAGTATTCAAGTGTCTTATATATATATATATATATTACAGTTTCCACAATGGTAAAAAATTTAGTTGTGCAAACACAGCAATGATAACTATGAGATTAGTTTCATCCGAATTGCATCTCAAATGAGCAAGCACACTTCTTTCAAACTTTAATCCACAAACTGCTAATCCACTCACAAAAAGGGAGGAGTAAAGGCTGGTTCAGGATAATCCGTCCAACTTTCAGTTATCCTCTAATGAAACTTCGATGCTAAGGCTATTTAGGATTTTCCATTGGACTTTCAAATGATTTGTGGATGCGGGTAATGACAACCATGCAAGTGAGGTTTGTCCATGCATGACTTCAACATTATACCCCAACTTCCATTTACGTCATTTTAGCAAGTTATGCCAGTGTGATTTGCAAGTGTGGTGTTTCCGAAGGTTCAATAGGATCAATCTATGAATAAAATACTAGTATTTTTGTTATAAAAGATAGGCAACACTAGAATTATAAATAAGTGAGTTAAAGGCATGTAAAAATAAGCTAATGCTTATTAAAATGTTTTCCTCACAAATTTATGTGCTTGTTGGAAGTGAGTTCTTTGAGTATGATGTAGGTATTGATTGTAACCATTTGGAAGAGGTCATTAAAATTAGGATTGGATATAAATGAATTATTTTCTTGTTAATATTATATATTTTATAATTGGTTTGTAAGCAAGATTAATTTTAGTTAAATAGATCACAATTTGGGATTTGTAATTGTTTTGTGAATAGGACAAATTGGCAGCTTTTTTAATCTCAAATTTCTCGTAGAATTTCCAATTGGATAGTCATTGAACTATCACTTTGGGAAAGCATACATGTTTTCTAGTTTCTAAATGAAACAAGTAGTTGTTTAATTTGTGGTCTATAAATTGAGAATTATTTTTGTGTGTGAATTAATCATTGTATCATTTAAATTCAATAGAAAATCCAAGATCCTAAAACATCTTCCATCAGAAATTTCAAAGTTCGGATGTCAATTTCCTGTTGGGCATATGGAGAGATTTGAATTCTAGGGTACCTTAAAATTTTGTGTATCTTTGACACATTTTCTCCAGTAAAGACCTAGCAAACTAATTCTCATGAACAAGTATGTCATTTTAAGATTAATAATCATATTAGAATCATTTTTGTATCACAACATATTCTAACAATTTCCCTAACAAAAAAATATATTGTTGATAATCCAACAATTAATACTATGTGATCAATTTAAGAATAACTTTCATTACCCTCTAATAACTTAATTGTATGATTCATAAATTTGATTTTTCTCTAATAGCCAGAAGTTTAAACATTTTTGTTCTTAAATAATAGCGTCAGGTATTTCCTTAATTATTTGGCATTCATTTAGTCTTTAAGAACTTTGAAATATTTGTTACATAATCTACTTTAATATCATATGTAACTCTTTAATCTCTATAGGTCTAAATTTGTGTCTATGAAACATCCTCACCTCAAAAAATAACACAACCCAACCTTTTTTATTCCATGA